TTTTCAAAATGGCATGATGACTTCTTTGTCTGATGCAAAAAGTATCACGCAACAGAAGGTTTAAACGTTTTAATTCAACGTTTAAACGTTACGGATGAAACGTTTAAACGTTTCGGATAAAACGTTTAAACGTTTAGGAAGAAACATTTTTACGTTGAAATGCTGTTTTTAAAACGTTTGAATTAAGAAATAAGTTCATTTGATACGCATATCAAAAGTTTTTGTTAGAACGACGACAAATAATTTTATTTAGTTTTTCCAAGAAATATTTTAGCCGCTCCTGTGCTAGACAAACCCCTCTAAACAAGATTTAAAATAGTGTTAATGACTCATGGCGGTATGTGTTTGATCACGATTAAAAGCATATAAAAGTGTATCAACAATGAGAATGAGAAATCGTCACGAAACTTGTTTTTATTATTTCTATAATTAATCAATATCATTTATTATAAAAACAAAAGACTGATATCAATGTCATTGTCGATGTCATTATCAATATCCTCATGATCATTATATAAAATATGGATGTCGATTTAAGTTCATTATTATAAGGATACATGATATAATATTTTTATCATTATCTTTATCATTATTATTATCATTATCTTAAAAAATAGTATTACACACATATAAGTGCATGTGATTTACATACATAAATACGTATGTATGTATGTATGTATGTATGTATGTATGTATGTATGTATGTATGTATGTATGTATGTATGTATGTATGTATGTATGTATGTATGTATGTATGTATGTATGTATGTATGTATGTATGTATGTATGTATGTATGTATGTATGTGTGTATGTATGTATGTGTATGTATGTACGTATGTATGTATGTATGTACGTACGTATGTATCTATGTATTTATGTATGTAAAAATAAAAATTTCTCAAAAATAATTCAACCCAGGTCTCAAATGAAGCAAAATTATATAAAAATTTCAAAAATTATTATCATTTGTTAAATAAAAGTTATATTAAATGCCTAAAAATGACCTATGTTAACCAAATATAAAATAGTGAATTTTTACAATTTCTTTTTTGATAATTTTTTTTTTAATATGTTTAATTTTAAAAGATTATTAAATGTAAAATGCTTGAATTAAAATTTTAAAATTTTTAGTGTCCTATTTATGTGTATACTAAAATTGGTGTATAATTTTTAAAGTTATAATCAATTTATATTCAAGTTATAATCTATATGTTTATATTGTGTATAGCATGTTAAGCTTTTGCTTATATGTTATATATGTTGCTAAATGTACATGTTACATTGGGTTTTATAAAGTTTTTATGTAATATTTAGTATTATATTTAAATTTTTTCTTAATTATTAGAGAGTAAAATTGAAGTAATTATCAAATTAAAAAGAAAGTAAAAGTACTATATATACATAATTAAAAAAATATACAAAAAAAAAGAACAACATGATACGAATTTAAAACAAGAAAAAAATGGGCTTTGTTCGTATTAAATTAGTTGAAGCAACTGCTGGTTCAAATGTTTGGAAAGAGCTTGAAGCTGAAAGTAAAACATGGGATCCTTATACTGGTGTGCATATTAAAGAAGCAGTTGAAATTCCTGGTCAAGGTCTGCAATTAGTGCAAGAAAAAAAGACTATTTATCCTGAATGGAACAGATGTTTTGATACCCATTTAAAACCAGGTAGTTTTTATTTATCTTTTATAAGAAATTTTTGGTTATAACTATATACTTTATTGAAACAAACCTGCCCAACATTTTCTTAAACCAAATTATCTAATATATATATATATATATATATATATATATATATATATATATATATATATATATATATATATATATATATATATATATATATATATAAATTTTTTTTTGCTTTTTCAAAAAATTCTTAAGATATATATTTTTTCGTTATAATCACCTCTTTTTTTTTGTGCAACAAATGACACAATATTAGTTTATTTAATACTTCATCTCAGTATTCCAATAATTTTCAGCTTATGCTTACTTTAACGCATATTAAACATAATGATCAACTTTGATAGTAGATGAAGTGTATGTTGAAGCTTCATTAACATACCATGGTGGAGAAATCTATTAATCTACCAGACAAGTTAGCAAAATCAATATTAACTGTTATGATTAATTGCCTGTGTTTGATGGATCCACTTTTATAGTTTAGAGAATTCCAATATTCTTTGATTCAGATTTTTAATACAAAGTAGTTTGTCCAATACTTAGATCAATTTAAAATGCTTTATCGCTATTCTATGTGACAATAATGAAGTCAATATTAGGTTTTTTCCCTCTTTGAAATTGTTGAAGAAAAACCAAGAATTAAATTTTTTATTTATTTAATGATTATGCTCATGTATTAAAAACATAATGCATATTTAGACTACTGAAAAAACTCAAAAAATACAGTTTAAGGATAGTTGCAATAGTTTGATTGCCATATGAGATTACCTAAAGAAACTTCATTGTTTAGAAAGTAAGATTTTTGTGAGTCTTTCAAATTTAAATACACCTTCAATCTTTCCGAAACCTGTTAAGAGACAAAATGTATCTTTGTGTTTGAGAGTTTTTGTGACAAAACTATATAAAAAATCTTATTCAACCCACCTTAAAAAAGTTGTTAAAGGAACTGTTTTAATTCTAAAAAAGTTTATTAATTCATGGAAAATTACTAATGTTCGCAATCTTGGTCATGATAAAAAGTTAATAGATTTTTTCTTGCTCTTTTGCATAAAAAAGAATTGTCCATCAAATTTGCATTGTTAGCTAGAGTTTTAGCTTTTGAAATATTTTATAAGAATCATCAGTGTGTTTATTAACTAAAAAATCCATTGTTTTTTAAATGCGTTTGCAGCAGTTTTCACATCTACAGTTTGAAATTGTAATAGTTTGCTTGTACAATTAATTTCAGTTAATACAACATCCCAAACTACCACACCACATATGAATTCAAAAATTTCTAATTTTGATGCAAGTGATTTGGCAGTTACTCTAGTAATAGAATCTTTTCCATCTTTTAGTGGTTAACATCCTTATTATTAATTTGCAACATTTTGATTCAAAAATTTGCTAACACTTTGTAAAACATTAAAAAGTTCTACTGCATCTGTAACAACCTAATTTATGTTTATGTTTATGTTTTTTATGTTTTTTTATGTATGTTTGTGTTCTGTCTGAACCTCTGGCGCAGTGTAGACTCACCCGTAAGTTGATTTATGTTTGTTTGTGTTCTGTTTATACTCTAATGCAGCGTGAGCTCAGTAACTAACTACTTACTCCAACTACAAAAACCTACACTCACCTTAGACTCCTGTATTTTATTAGATGCAGTGTTTTTCCTAATGCACTTCCAAAATATCATACCTGGTTTTCTCAAAGTACTGTTGCGGGAAGTAACTCCTTTTAACTACTCCAGGTCAGGTCAGGATAATCGAGATCAATCTTGCTACCGGTAGTGATTTCGTCGGTTATCCGTTTCGAAAACCGGATAACAGTTCTCATCAATTTGCGGTTAACCGACTATTCGGTAAATTAGTGACGCTTTCTGAATACAGGATCTTCTAAATTTCAACGAACGTAGCGTTTTAAACTAATTTTTCAAAAATTAATGTTAAAGTGTACATTTTCAAGACAGTGAATACAGTCCTATATTATATATTTATAACAAAACATGGAAAAAGATATATATATTTTATATTATAATATAATATACCTTTTTAATTATATAATTAAAAAAGGTAGGAATAATGTACAAGTATAGTTTAAATGTTTTAATATCAGCGAAAAATGAGATGTTATGAAGTAAATTTTTTTAGCGTGTATTTTAAAAACTCATTGTTATGCGGACATAGATAGAAACATAGATAAACTTGAATGTTCTCAAAACAACTTGTTGCGTAAAGATAATATAAATAATATTTGCTAACACTAAAATACCGCCAAATCTACGAATAAACAAATTCTATTGGTTCAAAAAATACGCTGAATAAGCGAATTAGAGTTCCAGAATTTTCCGAAGAAACTTTCTTAAAAATGTATTGCTTGAGTTGTAAAAGTAATAAATAAATCTTTGAGATTTCTATTGTAAATTGTTATAAGAATATATTATTAAACAAAACTGATTAAATTAACATTTAAATTAATAAAAGAAATATATTATAATCTTTGATAAATTAACATTTGTCAAACAATAATCGTCATAATTACGATGTTACTTTCTATAAAATTTCGTAAAATTTTTAAGTCGGTTTTTATTATTCGAAAATAGATATTTGATATTCAAACAAAATTCGGTTAACCGCAAAACCGGATAACCGGCGAAATCACTAGCTACCGGTATCATGTAACCCAGTACCACAAGCCCTGCTGCCTTGCAGAGTGTGCTCTTCTTAGGCAAAGGCTAGGAGAAATAAACTCCGACTAAAAATTCCCCTGCCTTGGGGCTCTTGGTTGAGTAAAGGCTAGAGATGGTGTCTCGATAAAAATACTCATCTTGGGCAGATGTTAACTGCATCCAGCTACTGTCTTGTAGAAGGCCTCCTAGGCAAAGACTTTAGGGGTAAGCAGAAAAATTCTGCTAACCAGCCTCGAACCCCTTCTTCATCTATTAGGCTGGCGTAGATGTAACCTGTGTTACATTGTTTCCTGCCTAGGATGATGAATGCTGGATCTCCTTGACTCTACTCATAGAATTTTGCTTATGCCTCCTTGATAATGGCTATGCAACTCTTCCTGTTATCTCTATATGAGGGTACAGCTCTAAAACTCAGTTTAATGGTTCTGAGGCCGGCTGGTAGTAAGGTTTCCTGAACTCTGTGGTAGCTCTCAGAGAGGCTGATTCTATCAACAGCTGCAAAATATCAGAGTATTAACAGTGCCATGTTGCGCATGGATGGTGTCCCTGTTAATGCTTTTAGTGTGCATTGTCAAGGCCACATAAGGAGCCCTATGTCACGGATTAACAGGACTGAGACAACTGCATAGCTCATTGATTAGGAGGCTGTGCTCTATGAATGAGTCAAGTTCTCATTAAACCCAAATCATGACCAAAGTAAGCAAAAATTTAAAACCTAAAAAACCATCCCCACCACCTAAATATTTTAATATATCTTTTACAAATATTTGCGGTCTACGAAGCAACTTTCCAACAGTTTCCATCAAAATTCACCAGACTTGCTTGCACTCAGTGAAACAAAATTAAATTCTGCAATTCCTTCTTCAGATGTCAATGTTGATGGGTACTATCCTTTGATTCGTAAAGACTCAAATAGTCACATGCTAGGTTTAGGGGTATACATACGCATTAATTCCCCTATTTGTGAAATCAGGTTTGAATCCTTTGACCATTCTTTTATGTGCTTTCGCGTAGCACCTCTTCACTCTATCACCTTTCTCTTTGTTCTTTATTGTTCTCCTTCTTCCCATGATTGCACTCTCTTAGATGTTATCTCTGATCAAATTGACCATGCCCTCTCTCTTTACCCCTCTGCCAATATTGTTGTTGTTGGTGATTTTAATGCCCATCACACTGAATGGCTTGGCTCTAACACCACTGATCCTGCTGGCACTAAAGCCTTTAACTTCTGCGTTTCTCAATCTCTTACTCAGATAGTTAACTTTGTGACTCGTTTTCCTGACAACCCTAACCATTTACCTTCACTCCTTGACTTATGTCTTGTCTCTGACCCTAGCTTATGTTCAGTTTCTCCCTTTTCTCCCTTAGGTGGTTCTGACCATGCAATGATCTCTATAAATCTTTCTTCTCGTACTTCTTTTTTGGGCTCACCTTATCATCGCACCACCTACTACTACCCTAAAGCTGACTGGGATTCCTTTCGTGATTTTCTTCGTGATGGTCCTTGGGCTGATAATTTTTCTCTCTCAGCTGACAAATGGGCCTCCTACGTAACATCCTGGATTCAGGCTGGAATGGAAGCTTTTATTCCTTCGCGTCGGTTTCAAGTCAAGCCTCATTCTACTCCATGGTTTTCTTCTTCTTTCGCAGCTGCTATATCCAATCGTAATCATTTTTTTCATCTTTTTCAAAAGAACAACTCTCTTGAGAACAAACAGCTATTTATTATTGCAAGAAATCGATGTAAAAAGGTGCTTTCTGATGCTAAACTCCATTATTTTCAGTTCACTAAATCTCGCATCTTATCGCAGAAGTTAGGCTCTAAAGACTTTTGGAAAATCTTCAACAGCATTATTAACTAGGGTAGATCTAACATTCCATCTCTCATTCATGGGACTGATCTTATTACCTCTCCCAAGGATAAGGCAGAACTATTTGCAAAGAACTTTTCTTCTAATTCCACTCTTGAATCTTATGGACATTCTCTTCCTTCCATTCCAGTCAAACAGGTTGACCCATTGTTAGACATTCAAATCACTCCGGCTTCTGTTGCTAAAGTCATATCTCAATTAAACTCGTCTACAGCTTGTGGTCCAGACAACATTCCTGTCACAGTCTTGCAGAATTGTTCTCCAGAACTTTCTTCAATTCTCTCTAAACTATTTAACAAGTGTTTGACTGAGTCTTGTTTTCCTGCTTGTTGGAAAATGGCATCTGTGGTTCCAATATTCAAAAACTCTGGAGAAAATTCTGACCCCTCCAATTATCGTCCGATCAGTCTTCTTTCTGTTATTAGCAAGGTCTTTGAGTC